CCTCAGGTCTGAAGTAAGAATAATCTAGATTTTCTTTTTAAACCAGTCAATCCTAAAGAAAATCAACCCTAAATATTCATTGGAAGGACTGATGCTGAAGCTGAAGCTCTAATATTTTGGCCTCCTGATGCAAGAATCAACTCACTGCAAAAGACCCTGGTGCTGGGAAAGAATGAGGGCAGGAGGAGAAGGAGAGACAGAGGATGAGATGGTTGGATGGCATCATTAACTTACTGGACATGAAGTTGAGCAAATTCTGGGAGATAGTGTGGGACAGGGAAGTCTGGCTTGCTACAGTCCAAGAGGTCGCAAAGAGCCAGACAAAACTGGGCGACTGAACAACAAAACTTTTCTTTTACTATGTATGCGGGTGTGATTTATCAAAAGAAACTCGTTTAGAGGCAAAAGTGCTTGCACCTGACTTCAACTTTGAGCACTGAAAATTCGTTTTTAAAGGAGCAATACTAAAATAAATGCACAACATATTATTTTCTAAAGTACAGCTCCAATCTCAAAACCTACACACATATACATATATACCCTGAACATATGAAAAAAAATGTATACACACACACACACACACACACACACACTTTAGGACACAGTTTGATTCTGATGGATTCATCTGGTGAATTGAAAACAGGCTGCACGCAGCTCCGGCTCCCTCAATGGGAATCAAGGTAAAAATGTCACCTGTGCTCTTCACAAGTTTTCCACAGTGTTTTGAAGGCATGGAGTGTTTTCAAGAATGGGTTCAGAATTGACTAACATTTATTGAGAGATCTCAGGGCCCAGGCTCTGTGCTGTTTTATATATGCAGTACCATTTAATCTTCACAGCAATAACAATCTATCTCTATCTCCAAATCTATTATTACCAGTTGGCAGTTGAAGAAGGGACTTTCAAGTGATAATCTTAGACTCACAAGAAGTGGCAGAACTGCTATTTTAAGTCAGGTCCTCGGGTCCTCTTACCAAGACAGGGCTCTATTCCCTGATCCACACTGCCCCCTACAGGCCAGATGGTAACATTATGGGAACCAATGGGGGGAAAGGGGTGTGGCCAGGAAGGCAGGCCTAGGCAAAGTGAATCCCTTCAAAACAAATGGGACTAAGAATGTCTTCAAACAATGAAGGATTTTTTTGTATTTATGCAGGGATATGCTATTGATTTGTAAAAAAGGTATAAATCTAATGGTTTACATTAGATTTACATTACATTCTATAGTTTCTTTCCATGATATCCTATTACACAAATCACAGATTTCTTAAAACTGGGAACTAAAAGAATAAGTATTTGGTCACATGAATGTGCTTAAGAAAAAACAAACAAAACACAAAGCATTTTCCAGTGTTGTCCTCTATGCAATAACTAATATTTTTATGGTTAAAAAATTTTATTCTTTGCTTCTCACTTTGATACCCACAAGTTCCTTTTCTTAATAACAGCTGCTATTCAAAATTGCTATTTCTAAAACAAATTTTTCTGTTACCACATGATACACTGTGGTAAAGGGCACTTAATATGCAAATTGCTAACATAACTTAATATTATCTTCCCTCCTGTTGCTCTTTAATTTGGCATTGAGCAGCTGAGGTTTGAGGTTTTAATCAAAGAGCACTGAATGAGGCAATTAATAAAATCAAATAAGCGTTCTTTTTTCAATTATTTCATTCACTGTTTATACCTACTAAATTGTAAAACAGTCCTAGAAATGCATTAATGCAATGATTGTGTCTTTCATTGCTTGACCATGTCTAAATGAAGGCTTATTTTCAAGTGCTGCAATATAGTAGAACAGTAAAGCATGCAGGCCCCAGCCCAGTGAGTAACCCAAGGCAAGCTGGTTATCTCTCAAAGTCTCATTTTCATCATCTGTAAAGTGGAGATAATAACAGTACCTCCTTTATATGGTCATAGAGAGGATTAAAGGAAATAATCCACAGAAAGCATTAGCGAAGTGCCTGGCACACAACAAGTGCTCAGTTCTTACTCAGATGATGAATTTGAGAACTCATACGGAAACATTACTGTTGCTATTTAATTCGCAGCCGAAATATTCTAAGAACTGTATTAACTACATGCTTGGCCAGAAGAGAACAGGCGCGTGCAGAAGCATCATTCTCAGCTCAACACAAGGACTCCCCCAGATCAGGTTTCTGGCTTCCCATGTAGCACATGCCCGGGGCAGACAGCTAGGACAAGCAGTGCTTGCAGTTATTATAGGCATGGGGGCGGGTGAGCAGCTGCCAAGGCCCCCGGGTTAGGCAAAGGCAGACTGACCTCCAACTGAGGCTGTGTTAGAGGTTAGAGGCTTAGAAGGAAACAGGCAGCTGATCAGCCTGCAGAAGACAGACAGTGGTCTTGGCAGCAGCAGTGACAGATCAAGCCCAGAGGAAGAGGGCTGTGGTCCATCAAGCTGAGAGGATCCGGCAAGAGTCAGGGGCCTGGGACAGCCCCTAGGGAGACACCTCACTGACAGCAGTTGACTTGGACCAAAGGCTTCTAACCCGGAAGTTCCAAACGACTTCCTGATTATTTGAAAAAGCTCTTGGCAGGCTTAGCCAAGGTGAGCTGGGGGTCATCCTTATCCCCTCCATAAACTTGAGGTCTACTCATCAGAGGGTGGTAAAACCAAGTCTTCCCATCTGGGGCTCCCCTGAGGATATATATGAACCCTGTGGGTGTGGCAGGTGAGTCAAGGTACAGCAAAGTCACTTTCTTTTCACGGGGTGGCACCAACAAAAGATCTGAGAATCTTTTTGAATGAAGCCTCAGCAAAGGGCTAATCACAGAAGATAAAACAACCTTAGTTACACCAGTTCCAAACAACGAAGCATGAAGTTTTAAACAATTATGGCTTTGGTATTTTACCTGCCTGATGAATGAGAGACTTGGGAACGTGCCAATATCTTATATTCTCATGTTTTATCCCGTCTTCAGGGTCACACCATTGCCATCATCAATACCAAAGTTGTTCCCATAGTCAACATAAGAATTCCGGGCAGGATCTGCTTGCTTTCTGAAGCTAATTCCAGTAATGATTTTTGAAAGTCTGTTTTGATTTTCAGTGTTTGTAGGAAGTCAGGAGTGAGCCAGACTCCCACACAGGAAATAGAGTCATCTTTGTCCCATGGGCACAGAGCTAAGGCGTGATGACATGCTGGTGGAGCAGGGTGCCACTCTCAATTCAGTCTGACACACCTTATGGGAAACCAAATTGCTGGGCACACCAGAAAGGGAAAATCTCCTCTACTAAGAAACCTCAGGGCACCTGGAGTCTAAGCTACATTAAATAAGGCAAAACCATTAGCAAAGCTGTGCAAAGACAGACGTAAACATAATGACCAACGAGGGGGAAGAACAGGCATTTTAGGCACAAAAACACTTGAGGTGCTAGAATCAAAGCACTGCAGCGGCATAAATATAAAGCAAAGATAGATTCTTCCAGAATTTCAATAAGCCAGAATGTTAACTATCCTAAAGTAATACTAAAACCATCAGAGATTTCTAGACAGTTGATATCATCTGGAATTAGGGCTGAGAACTCAAGCCTTTCACTCCGGGCAGAGTGATTCTCATACCCAACTTCCATCCCTCAAATCAAGGCTTCAAAGTCATTTACTTTGTACCTTCTATTAGCATTCACAGCGAAGGTATCCTAAACACTCAATTTTCACATTCTTTTTCACTGACAAATCAAAATTAAAAACAAACTTTTCTAAACGCAGACATTTTCCAAAGTGGTTCATGAGCACCCTCTAGTGACAGTGAGGCCAGTTAAGACAACACCTGCCCCCTACCAAAACTGTCTTTAAAATGTGCAGATTCATAGTATTCCATTTCTAATGTCAGTTAAAAATAGATCTTCTGCCACCGTTATTTGCACAGCCACAAACTTAACTTACTTCTCTCTTTAGAATCCATAACTAGATAAAGCCATTTATTAAAGAACATGCAATGCAATCATCTGAAAACATTTCAAAGTACCTTTGCTTGATCCCAATGTGAATGCATTATTTTGGCTGTTGGGAAGCATTTTTACAACCAAATAAACTTGATTACAAAGTAGTCAAGGATGACTTTTAAAAATTAACAATACACTTGTATAGTTCATTTCTCTTCCTAACTTACTTCAGTACCCCAGTGACTATGGTAACTGATCACAATGGCTAAATCCATACAACTGTGTTACAATTGCCTGATCATTTATTTCCTTACACATTTGGTGGTGGTGTTTTTTTAAACAGAGGCGTCTCTCAAATTCCTCCATTCCTCAACCCTGTACTCCAGAGTTCTTAAACTAGTTGACCTGGGAAAATTGTGGTCTGCAGGCATGGTCTATTTACATTTAAAATTTTCCTACTGGTCGCCAACATTTAAAAATGTTCTGAAGAAGGAAAATGATCTTTGGCAACGCTTGGCAACATACTTTCAGGAGCCGGGGGAAGTGTGTGTGTGTGTGTCGGGGGTGGGGGGTGTCCCTTTAGGTGGACCAGTAACAACTCAGTCCCCATCAGTCACACAGGTTACTTACCTGGCCCTGAAAGCCTTTAAGATGCAACCTCTGAATCCGAGGCCCCTTCCAGTTCTTCTCATGAAAGTTCTGTTTAAAATCCTAGTAACCAAGCTAATCTATCCTATCTGTGCCACAGAAGGCTACCAACGGCGCAGATTAAAAGGAACACACTATCATCAAGAAAAGTAAAAAGATATTCTCAGTAACAGAGGAATGCCAACGCCCAAATATATAGTTTAGACTGATTTCAAATGCAGTCAATTCCCTATGCCTTGATAAAGTTCACTTTGCCTTCATGACCCACATCTTTGAGAGGACAAAACCCTCACCATAGCAAACAAGCAACTTGTAGATCACAGACCACAAGCAACTTGTAGATCACAGACCACCCGCTCACATCCCCAGATTCCTCTCTTAGAGCCAATGCCCTGGAGACCAGATGACTGGCCAACCAAGTCACGAGAAGGAAATGAGCACTCACGGGGGTGCTGCTGTCTGAGAAGGTGTTCATGCTGACGGAGCTGCTCAGCTTGTCCGAGGACAGGGAGGGCGGGGAAGGGCTCCGCTTCTCCAGGGGCTCCTGCCGCTGCAGGTACTCACGCCATGCTCGCTGAATGCTGCCAAAAACAAACCAAAGTGTCACTCCAGTCACAGACTCAGACTCCGACAAACACGAGGCGCCCGAAGGAACTGACTTTGGCCAGGAACCTGAAGCACACAGAACGTGACGTGGGAAGTCAGAAGACCTAGACTGTCTGTGTTATTGGTTTGACTTTCACAAGCTTACCTGAACTAAGCCAGTCTACAAGAATCGACTTCGTCAGAAAAAGTCATCTGTCAAAGTGCAACCAGTTTGCACATGTAAATGTACATGCTTTGGTTTATGGGACACAAAACCTTTCAATTTCTCATCATTTTTTCAAGTGAGAATAATAAATTGTTGTTGAAGAACGGTTCTGTGCCAGGGTTAGCACTTGGCTCTGGACAGAGGAGACAGCACCGCCCTGGGGGGCTATTCACATAGACTTCCAGGTGAAGGGTGTTCCATGATGTCAGATGGTATAGTCTATGTGACCAAATGCATTGGCTCTGCTCTGGGACAAGACAGACAAGTGCCCTGACGTCACGGATTTTACATACTATGGAAGGAAACAGGTAATATATGATGAATGAACAAAGACGTGGACAGAGCAGACAAAAATATTTGAAAGTGTTATGTACTATTCAGAAAATTAAAGTAACTCATGATTAGGTAGCTTCTTGAGATTTCACCCAAGGAAGTTTTTTATTTCCTGTGGTTAGTAACTCTCAAAAGAGTCATCTTCTGATCTGAATAACAGAAAACTCTTCTTCATTCTTGCCTGGAAAATCCCCTGGAGGGAGGAGCCTGGTAGGCTACAGTCCATGGGATCACAAAGAGTCGGAAACGACTGAGCGACTTCACTTCACTTCTTCATGAAAGCTAAGTGACTTTTCTCCATTTGGACTAGTTCCTAATCTTTGAAGAGATTAACATCTAGATTTTCATATGTGACCAGGGAACTGAATCTATTTTCTCCTGGGAGTTGCTAGACATGAACACCAATTGTCAGGATTCAGCTTTTGAAAATAGTTTTAAATGGCTGTGCTGATTCTATCATGATCTCTTCTCAACTCCTGGAAGCATTCAATCTTCTTCAATTCTTCAACATACAACCAAAGTCACTGAAGGTGTTTTTGTATAAACAAACATTTGTTTTCATTTGGCTAGAATGGTTCAAAGACTGTCCATTCTCAACAATCAAAGGGCATAAAGAACACATAAACATTTGTATGTGTTCCCTAATTTATTAAGGCTTTGTGAGTTATAAATGTTCAAGGAAAGGTCCAGAAGCTACAGTGAAACAACCCTGGGATCAGAGACCAATTTTCCTGAAACTATGAAACTTCAGCTTCTGGGGCCCTCACTTAGAGGCCAGGAGCTTCTTGCCTTGGCTCACAGATGTTCACTGTTTTCTTATTTAATGTCATCTCAAAATGCACCCTTATTTATTTATTTTCCTTTGGTTTAAAATTTTAAACAGGATCTCCGAGAGAGTCCTGTAAGATTAAGAGGGTCCTCTAAGGCTGGCTGAGTGTGGTAATCCCATTGTTTCTTCTGGGATCCACTTTACTAAGGGAGTATCAAACTTCTGGCAGCTAATTTCCATGTCATCCAAAGTGCTTGAAGTGCTGGGCAACTGCCAGAGTGCTGCTGAGAATTTCTGCCACTTTAGGACACCTACAGCTTGTAAACCTGCCCATCAAGCACTTAAAAGCATGTGATTTTTTAAAAGTAACTTAACAAATAGAGAATACTGACAACCCATAGGATATCCACACGTTTATAGGACTATGAAGTATTCTTCTCTCCAAGCCCCACTTTTTAATTGCCTTGGTTACTCAGAAAATATAGAAAGAAAATACAGTAGCCTTTTGAGAAGCTGGGCTTCCCTTGTGGCTCAGTTGGCAAAGAATACACCTGCAGTGTGGGAGACCTGGGTTAAATCCCTGGGTTCGGAAGATCCCCTGGCGAAAGCAAAGGCTACCCACTCCAGTATTCTGGCCTGGAGAATTCCATGGACTGTATAGTCCATGGAGTCACAAAGAGTCCAACAAGACTGAGCGACTTTCACTTTGAGAAGTTACATTTTAGCTTGATGAACACCAGGGGGCAGCATAACACCTGCAAAAAAAACACAAAACAATGCTGGACAACCCAGGTGAGATCTGCGTAGAATTTAAAGCATTGTCGTCTCCCTTCTAGTTCCATGGGGTCTGGAAAGTGACATACCAGTTTTCCTTAAGTCGAAGATTAAGAAGAGAGTATTCTTTCCTTCCAAGTGGAAAGATATCCTCTTCTTAATTGATAAAATGTGACATTTGTTCTTTGTTGTTTATTCACTAGTTAGTATCCCACTCTTTGTGACCCCATGGACTGCAGCACACCAGGCTTCCCTGTCCTTCAATATTTCCCAGAGTTTGCTCAAACTAACGTCCAATGAATCAGGGATGCCATCCAACCATCTCATCCTCTGTTGCCCCCTTCTATTCCTGCCCTCAATCTTTCCCAGCATCAGAATCTTATATATATATATATATATATACACCTTTAAAATAGGCATTAAAATCATCTATTGATATAAGCCCACTCACTTCCTTAATTAAAAAGCTATTTCAATTTTTGAATATTTACCTTATTATCCTTGTCTACATATATGAACAAGGGGTATCTCAAGGTAAGGAGCAGTGGCTGCGCTTTGCTGGAGCAGCCATGAAGAAATACCCCATGTCCAAGGTAAGAGAAACCCAAGTAAGAGGGTAGGTGTTGCGAGAGGGCATCAGAGGGCAGACAGACTGAAACCATAATCACAGAAAACTAGCCAATCTGATCACAGGACCACAGCCCTGTCTAACTCAGTGAAACTAAATCATGCCGTGTGGGGCCACCCAAGATTGTCGGGTCATGGTGGAGAGGTCTGACAGAATGTGGTCCACTGGAGAAGGGAATGGCAAACCACTGCAGTATTCTTGCCTTGAGAACCCCATGAACAGTATGAAAATGCAAAATGATAGGGTACTGAAAGAGAAACTCCCCAGGATGGTAGATGCCCACTATGCTACTGGAGATCAGTGGAGAAAGAACTCCAGAAAGAATGAAGGGATGGAGCCAAAGCAAAAACTATACCCAGTTGTGGATGTGACTGGTGATAGAAGCAAGGTCTGATGCTGAAAAGAGCAATATTGCATAGGAACCTGGAATGTTAGGTCCATGAATCAAGGCAAATTGGAAGTGGTCAAACAGGAGATGGCAAGAGTGAATGTCGACATTCTAGGAATCAGTGAACTAGAATGGGTGGACTGGAATGGGTGAATTTAACTCAAATGACCATTATATCTACCACTGTGGGCAGGAATCCCTTAGAAGAAATAAGAGTAGCCATCATAGTCAACAAAAGAGTCCGAAATGCAGTACTTGGATGCAGTCTCAAAAACAACAGAATGATCTCTGTTCGTTTCCAAGGCAAACCATTCAATATCATGGTAATCCAAGCCTATGCCCCAACCAGTAACGCTGAAGAAGCCAAAGTTGAACGGTTCTATGAAGACCTACAAGACGTTTTAGAACTAACACCCAAAAAAGATGTCCTTTTCATTATAGGGGACTGGAATGCAAAAGTAGGAAATCAAGAAACACCTGGAGTAACAGGCAAATTTGGCCTTGGAGTACGGAATGAAGCAGGGCAAAGGCTAATGGAGTTTTGCCAAGAGAACGCACTGGTCATAGCAAACACCCTCTTCCAACAACACAAGAGAAGACTCTACACGTGAACATCACCAGATGGTCAACACTGAAATCAGATTGATTATATTCTTTGCAGCCAAAGATGGAGAAGCTCTATACAGTCAGCAAAAACAAGACAGGGAGCTGACTGTGGCTCAGATCATGAACTCCTTATTGCCAAATTCAGACTTAAACTGAAGAGAGTAGGGATAACCACTAGACCATTCAGGTATGACCTAAATCAAATCCCTTATGAATATACAGTGGAAGTGAGAAATAGATTTAAGGGACTAGATCTGATACACAGAGAGCCTGATGAACTATGGACGGAGGTTCATGACATTGAACAGGAGACAGGGATCAAGACCATCCCCATGAAAAAGAAATGCAAAAAGGCAAAATGGTTGTCTGAGGAGGCCTTATAAATAGCTGTGAAATGAAGAGAAGCAAAAAGCAAAGGAGAAAAGGAAAGATATTCCCATTTGAATGCAGAGTTCCAAAGAATAGCCAGGAGAGATAAGAAAGCCTTCCTCAGCAATCAATGCAAAGAAATAGAGGAAAACAACAGAATGGGAAAGACTAGAGATCTCAAGAAAATTAGAGATACCAAGGGAAGATTTCATGCAAAGATGTGTTTGATAAAGGACAGAAATGGTGTGGACCTAACAGAAGCAGAAGATATTAAGAAGAGGTGGCAAGAATACACAGAAGAACTGTACAAAAAAGATCTTCATGACCTAGATGATCACAATGGTGTGATCACTCACCTAGAGCCAGACATCCTGGAATATGAACTCAAGTGGACCTTAGAAAGCATCACTACAAACAAAGCTAGTAGAGGTGATGGAATTCCAGTTGAGCTATTTCAAATCCTAAAAGATGATGCTGTGAAAGTGTTGCACTCAATATGCCAGCCAATTTGGAAAACTCAGCAGTGGCCACAGGGCTGGAAAGGGTCCGTTTTCATTCCAATCCCTAAGAAAGGCAATCCCAAAGAATGCTCAAACTACTGCACAATTGCACTCATCTCACACGCTAGTAAAGTAATGCTCAAAATTCTCCAAGCCAGGCTTCAGCAATACGTGAACCGAGAACTTCCAGACATTCAAGCTCGTTTTAGAAAAGGCAGAGGAACCAGGGATCAAATTGCAAATATCTGCTGGATCATTGAAAAAGCAAGAGAGTTCCAGAAAAACATCTATTTCTGCTTTATTGACTACGCCAAAGCCTTTGACTGTGTGGATCGCAATAAACTGTGGAAAATTCTGAAGGAGATGGGGATACCAGACCACCTGACCTGCCTCTTGAGAAACC